TTCAGTTTGTGCATTTATTAATGACAAGCGTTATAAACTGACAAGCGAATTAAACTTCTGGGAAAAGTATCTGAAAGGCTTAATATTCATTTATTGCTAAAGTACACTAACAAATTTATCATCACCAGGTCGCATATCTTCTATTCTCTTCAACAATATTTGTACTTCACTTTCTGCACCGTCCACTTATTTAATGGTGATTTATTCAAACGTTGCTTTCAGGATCGGAATGAAAACAAAACTTTCCAAACACATCAGTGATGGATCTTTCAAATGAACTTAAAATGGTTTATTTAATACTGTTCAGCGACTTCATTTCACGATCTTTTTTCCAGTCGAACTCATAATCTTATTTCAAATTCTTAATGCAAGAAAGGGAGATAATTACGGATGTCTAGAAATAACATTCTCTCAGTGGATTTAACAGGGCACGTTCAATGTGGTGGCGTTTGTCTGACATGTATAGAAAATCCATGGGATATTGTGTAGAAGTAAACGTTTAAATATCGCCAAGAGAGTCAACAAAATTCCGTGGCTAGTCTCATGGATTTTTTTCGTTCAGACACCATTTTGAGACTCTTTACTTTGAGTTGCGTATTCAAGGAAATATTGTTGAAAGGATCCATTGATCTGCAGAGCCCTGTGATATTTACCACAGGGAACTTGATGAAATGTGCTATTTTTCTATTGACGAATAACCCTTAAACCTCTGTAATCAAATTATTGGCGAACAGTACAGCTTCATATTTGATTAACAAATTCAAAACGTATTGATCCTTTTAAGATGCAATGTCAATTTTTAATCACATACTGATCGATACTGAGGTAGTTTGATGGCACGATTAATCTCAATATTTACATCAAGGAAACCTTCTGACAAACATTTTCAAGATTGACAGAATAAACCCGATTCCTCCTTGGGCAAACACAAGTTAATGTGAACGGTAAATGCTAATGAATGATTCCAAAGCAAATCATGTGAAGAAAAATGCGTCATTATTCGCCTTATGCCAGTTCGGTTCCACACATCGGAAGCAATCAAGGGAACCTCTCTAAATCTTTCCAAGTGTCAGTTATCTCCGATATCAGCTTCGACCATATGCTATTTAAGATTATTTTATAATATCCTAATACACAGGGTTTATACATCGCCTTAAGGATGTTAATCACATATCTTACACGTGTGAGCAACCAGTTTTAATGTAACTAAAAATAACAACAATTAGCTAAACAGCAAGTACACGTCTGTTGAAAATGTATACCCTGACAAAATATGTATGCGAAATAAGGATTTCAACAGATGGTGATAGGATTTCATACTTCTTGTCGGTAAGCTCTTAAGGCATTGAAAGATTGCACGTGAGGTTTGTCATGCCTGTAAGGATCATTAAGAACTTCAGTCTTGTTATTTACATCTATACCCGTACAAAAATCATAATTTACTGTTTTGGTAAGCCGTAAGAACCACATCAGCCGAATATGAACTTTAAAATACTTGAAAATAATGCACATGTATCAAAGGCTGTTTCAAACCCGTGAAGATCTGGGTTAGAATTGGTCTTCAGTAACCCATGCTTGTAGTAAGAGGCCACTAACGGGATCGGGTGGTCGGGCTCGCTGACATGGTTGACACATGTCATCGAATCTCAGTTACGTAGATCGATGCTCATCGTTGATCACTGGATTGTCTGGTTCAGACTCGATTATTTACAGACCGCTGCCATATCCTGACTACTCGACCTCTTCACAACAAACATGTTCTGTTGAAGACCATAACAGTGATCTACCAAGCTGGGATCTTCACGAGAAATTTGTAATGTTAAAAACTGAAACAGGACAAAACAACAACACAAAAAACACAGTAATATGGAAATTGTATAGATTACAATCATGTCACCATGCATCTTTCGAAACGTCATTGCAAATGCTTTCGTATGGATACCACCATCAAAGAAAAAAAGTACAGTGCACAAGTTGCGCGCATAAAAAGATACACAGACGCGTTGGTTGTTCAGGAAGAAAAAACCCATACATGCAGAAATGACATAAAAATACAACTTGGACTCGGTTGTTTCTCTAAAAAATACAAATTGAATCGTGTATGTGTGTGAAACAAGAACATGTATTGAGAACAAAAATGCCATGTTCAGGTTGGTTCCTATATGCTTACTTTTGTATCAACCTAACGCCATTGCTGATAGGGTTAACATTAACTGTCTTGAATATACGATGCCAAAATATCGCCGTTGTGTCTGTACTGCTTCACGCTGACAGTTTCATGGTCCATAAATAACGATGTGTTAAAGACAGATAAGTCTATTTTCAGAGATAGCCCCGATGTTCTCTGTTTCGCCATTAAATATTGTCGTCATGCAAGCATGCCATCGTAAACTTTGTGCGCTGACATGACGATCGAACTCAGGATTACCGTGTAGTGCTGATACGCTGGTTAATAAGAAGCAGTAAAAACATAATCACATATAGGCGTATCAAATATCCATTTTAATTTTCGAACAATTACCTTACATCAGATTTCGATTAACTTAATGGTCTAAAAATCTGGCATGGCTTCGGGCGAACAGAATGGTTCACTGAAGTTCTCCTCTACTAGTGATTATTTTAAGTGTCGTATAACACATTTGGAATCCACACCGGGCACTAAAAATAGGGGACATTGAATGCAATAGATGCATTTCAGGCGCATATTCACGTTCCAAATCCGTTTTGTGATGAAGCACAAGTTTATCTCTTCACAATAACTAAATTCAATGTCGTCATGGACAATCTCAAGCCAGCACGAAGAACTTTGTACATTTGTACATCATTTTACATTGAAAACAAGATTTATGTGTACATCTGTCAGTGATAACATTGAGTTGTAGTTGCTGTGAATTCTCTTCAGAAAACGTTGCCATACGTATGCTTTATTACCTGAGCAAATAACCTTTTGTCAACTATTATCCACATCACATGGTTTATGTCTGCATCCCTGGCAGTACTTCACTTTGCTGATCCTAGGATGAGAAAGGAACATTGGTATACCGCTGACATGCTGACCGCATGCCGTGCCCGGAGTTCGAAAACCGTTCGATCAGCTGTTTTTGTGTTCACTTTGTACAGATTTATTTTACCGACTTTCATTGCTTTATTTAAACTATTTTACACATTGAGTGGTTTGCACACTCAACTTAAACATAATTAACCATTTTTATAGGCGTTTTTAGCTTGTCAGAATATGTTTCACTGATTTTAAAAATCCAGTCTAGAGGCAGACGCCTTTGGTTTAAATGTCATATAGTCGGTCGCGATCTTTAACATGAAATAAAATAATGTTTTGTACATTTAACATGGCGGTAAGATAAATACGTTGTATGCTTCTCCCTCGGGTAATACGGTCTGATGTACGACTCTTTGTAGCAGTGTCATCCCTCGCCTACCCGTTTGGGTGACACTCCTACAAAGAGGCGTACATCAGACCGTATTACCCTCGGGAGAAGCATACAACTTATAATTTACCACGTAGGAGCCGGTTCACAACAAACTTATCTGATTGTATGTGTAAATTGTCTTCATCGGTATCGCCAGACAACAATTTCACGGACTTGAATTTCACGTGACAGCTATGCTTCTAATATGTAACCTCTTCAACACTTCGAATCAGAATGCCAGGAAAGCTTTGCAAAGTGTTCACACTAACAGAGACTACGTCGTTCATGACAACGAAGTACTTCTTTCTTACTTAAAAATTGTCCACTGTTACGGATCGACGTTCATGGAATTGTTCTTTCCGTCTTACCGTTAGTTCATTGGACCCTAAATGTGATCGAAGACATTACCCAAGTCCGATTGATTTTATCGACATGAGACGAGATTATGCTGTTTATGATTGTACTCAGTCATGCTGACTGATGTGCCAATAAGCGATTGCAGGCCTACATTACATGGCTTAGCGTCCAGAGTTTCGGAGCATGAAAGGAAATTTAAATGTCAATCACTCTGCAATGGATTCAAGACATCCTCGCATCAAAATGTCACATGGAACCCTATGATAAAAAGCTTTAATGGATTAAGCCACTTTCTGGTCACAAACATTGATGTAACCATGACACATGTCTATAATGCTTTTTTTGCTTGTGTAAATCACTGATGTTGTTGTCGAATAGGTATCGTGTATCACATCCTGTGGTTATCATTTTGACCACTGCTTCCCTCCCGCTGAGCATGCAGTTATTCTGACCATGATTCAGGATTCAAGAAGAGAGAATAATCACAGACTTTAAACAGTTTCCAAAATGGAAATCCTAAACCCAGTCGGTAATTGATCGTTTGTACGCGAATTTTATGTGCAGAGTCTGGGATTATTCCGAATTACCTTAATTTGTCGGTAATTCTGTCGCGGAAATTATTTATGCCTGTTTTTACCCCAGCAAGCAATTATGGCAAATCAGATTGATTCTTCATGTCAGTTCGGTCAAGATATGTATATAAAGTTTGAAATTGTATTGCAGAATCGATGTGCATTCCTTTCTTTTTCCCAGTTATTGGCTATTAAAGAGAATACGTATCATTAATGAAACTTATTTTATTGATACTGCTGGGTCGATGATAATTAATTAAATGTTTTCTAATATTTTTATGAAAGTTTCGAAAGAGTTTCGTTAAACTGAAATTCTCGTGATCGATAAGGTTTCATATGAAGCGAATGACACTTTCATACTTAGGTTTCGTTCACAGGTATCACATTCACACAGGCTCCGACTACACTATACTGTGGGAAACACAAGTAATTCCAGCCGTTACCAGAAACTGGCTAAATCCAATAGAGTGCAGACCTGAAATGAAAAATGTGCATGACAAATTATTGTAATCACTCGTAGTTTAATTTAGCAGAAAATCAGTAAGAAGGCAACATTTGAGAATGTTCGTTATTCTGTAACATCTTATTAACTTCGGTAAACTTTGTTTAGCAAATTTAATTGAAACTCGTCAGCTTTAATTAGTTTTGTTTGATAATATAATGCTTGTGACATCGATGACTGCTGGGCAATTGGAATGGATAGCTGATGAAAGGTTTTAAGCAGGTGCTATTTGCCATTTTTGCGGATCACCGATACAACTGGACCCAAAGGGTGAGTAGTATTGATTGAAATGTTCATCATGCATCAAGGCAATGTTGTTAACGAAAGTGACATCATGGTGTTTGTATAACCTTGTCGGAGGTATACACTACATGAATGCTTTCGGGAGGTGAACTGCCTTGGCTGATATATACTGTTTGTTTCCAAATGAAACACTCAATAATATGTGCTCTTCGCTACCTTTATACCCATCACTGGAGAGAAGCTTTTAAATAGCTTGTTGTTATGTGTACAAGTTGACGTCTTCTAGAAAGTGTACCCTGTGTTTTTAAAGTATAAAAGGAGAGATATGTTTAAAGGTTAAGAAAGGTGTTTTAAATGAGAGAACACACGCATACCTTGACAATGCTATTGTCGGTAACCGTTGGCCATTGTCAGGAACCGATAGTTTGTACATACATTAACCGAAGTGAGCTGAGTGTTTGTATCGGTCAAGTCATTTAGTGTTGTTGAATCACTGAACGTTCCATCGGATATAAATTAAAGTCAAAACCACCTTTTACACGCACAAGAAATCTCTGCTAAAAGCAAAACCGATTGTACGATTCCGACTGTATCGTGAAAAAGAAGAATCACTATTATATAGTTATGATAACATGTTTTCGATAAACCGTGAACATATTTTCACGTACTGGTGGTGCCCGTCAACAAATCACTATTGGACTTGAAAAATACACTTCAACATATGTTACAGGATATGGCATAGCCCTTCATTTTTGTCAGTGATTTGGATGTGGAAACCTCATGTCTACCATAAGTCGTTTTGATATCTTTGCTGAGACCTTGATGTTTGTAAATCATTGAAAGCACGAGCGGTAATCCTATGATGATCATGCCCATATCACATCATTTAAGTCATATTGTCTGCCATGGAACACATACAATCCGCGTCAACTCATGGTGTATGTTGTTACGATACGTTCCCTCAGGTAATCCCCTGCAAATACACCGCCATATCTAACGCAATGTACTAGACTGCATCAATCATATTACTGACGAAAATGGCTGTTCACACTTACAATGATGCTAATTACGTAGGATTAAGTCTCTGGTTTGTGTAAGTTCAATAATTGTATGAAGTGCCTCGTTAGTTCGATGTGACCCTTTGAAATGCTCGGATGTCAATATTGGGATACTTATTGGGAGGACGACAACATCATTCATTTACGTATGGTTTGTGGGTATGAAGTTTAAGAGAGAGAGAGAGTGTGTGTGTGAGAGAGAGGGGGGATGAGGTTGAGAAAGAGTGTTTATGTGCGTGTGTGTGTGTGTGAGAGAGAGAGGGGGGGACGAAGTGAGAAGAAGGGATGAGGTGGGAAGAGGGTAGTTAATATAATATGGGGGAACAATCACGTAGTCTGATAGGAAGTCTGCAATGATAGTGACATATATATGTAAAGTTATATACAAAAGTCCTTAGGAATATAATTCCCCATAAATACGAACATCATACCTGCAGAAATATAAATCCATGGGAATTACATCAATTACGTAGTTAATCACGAAGACAGAATATGCATATCCCGCGGAGCGCTGCATTTCAGATGTATGCATATAAACCATGTTTATTGCTCACCATCAAACGAAATCGCCTAATATATTATGCTTCTGGAATATACTGAGGACAAACAAGAACAATGTAAATTATGGGTTCTACATTCTACATGGGTTCTGTTATTTTGCTGCATGTCAGAGACTTATGTTCCTGTCAGCTGTTGGTAGATTCAGTGGCATAATAACATCCACAGTCCATATATTACTCCACATTATGAACCACTAAGGAAACATTCAGCGGCAACATGCTGTGATTCAACAGCCGTCCATGCCAATCCTATGGTTTATATGCATTTCAGTGATTCATTTGTGCGCTGTAGAAAAAAGCCGTATGATTTGGCACATATTTGTGTAGAGGACTTGTTTGGGTCGTCTTAAAGGAGGTCACCGAGTGATACATCAAGGCTGGAGAGCTCAAATATAGCTGACCTAAAAAGTCAAAATGGCTGTAGCTATCTGGACTAGACGTATAAAACTAATGTATTATAATTATCAAACAGACCACGATGTTACAGATACATTTAATGACACCGTCATTGGAATGTGTTTATAGAAAGTAGAAAACTTGGCCGATTGCAGCTCAAAGTCGTGAAATGTAGAAACCAATAAAGGCTGCGATAGTTGGAGTATTCTTCGATGTAAAGGGAAAGCTGACGTTTGACAACTGAAGTAGTCCCTACTGCCATACGGCCTTGTTGGTATTGTTTCTGGAATAGACAGCGGTTAGAATAAACTTTCGAAGACGTCACTTATTTCCGCGTGAGACCGTTATTCATGCGATCAATCATTAGTTTTGGCTGGCTTAGATAAATTAATTAAGGAAGTCATAATATTGCATTGCTGCATGTAATTAAACGATCAATGTGCATCACATGCATTGTAACGAATATTTCTTTGCTTGAAAATTAGATCCTGTTTGGGATATCTGCAATACATGCATGAGAAAAAGAACTTAATGTTGTTATGTTCAGATCGTCTTTAGCAATGCCATGAATACTGTATACTGTGCTGTCATAGAAATGCATACGTGACATATTCATTGTTCAATTGGTACCAATTTCAGTCATTGGTTATGCTCCAACTGACGGACTGCCACTAAATGATGAATGTTTGTAAATGAAGTCTAAAAAACATCTCCATGTCGACAGACAAGCTGCAAAGACGTAGGTGAAAGCTGGTCCTCTTTTGGTGCCATCTATGCAGAGACGCTTCCTTTAGACCTGTCAGTAATCTTTGGTCATCGGTTTCAATCTCAGATTTAACCTTGTTATGTTTCAAATTGTGTCGGCATCGTGATCGTTCTGATTTGTAAACTATAAGAAATTCAGCACCTGAGGCTTTCATCCAACATCAAACTGACACACCGCAATGTGCATGTATGCTTGTGTGTATGTCTCCCCCTTCCCCCTTTCTCTCTTTTACTCTGTGTGTGTGTGCGTGTGTGCGTGTGTGCGTGTGTGTTATGGTCAAACGTGATCCTCCTTTAAATTAATCAAGGACATCATTAAATGAATTCCAACACTGTGACAAAGTGTTGAACACAGGACACAATAACCAACTGACAGTTTTTTGTTCCATATGGTGTGCAGAGATTATGGGCAGCAGGTGTGTTCAGTTAATGCGAATTTATTTTGCACGATTTGACATAATATATCAATTTAACTTTAACAAAGGTTGTATAAGCAACGCCGACTCACACAATACGTATTACCATTCATGCTACAGGATGGCGTTCTGTAATAATCCAGTCTGGACCGAATAACCGAGTGACTGATATGAGCATCCACTTATGCAATGAGTATAGATAACGTGCAGCAACCATGTAACCGAGCGACAAGCATGGGTTGCTGCGGACCTGGTCAACCAACAACCCCAATATTTAAACAGGCATACATCTTAATGTCCATACATAGTATGCATATGTTATATTATATTGATACTAGTCATAATGTGCACACATTAATATTGATGTGGGCCACTAAAGGATAAACACTGGAAACACTAAAGTTGAATATGGGAGCAAATCATGTGGAATCAAACACGGTCTGTTAATTGGCATGACTGTCAATCTAACATTCTCACCTATACAATCTTGTACATATACAATCTTCAACGTCATGTTCAAACACTTACCACATACTTATAATCATCTCAACATTAATCCCACAAGTTTTACCACAGCTAAAGGGATGAAAAGGAGTGTGGTGACATTGAACTATCTCCGTGTTTTAGAAGACCTACACGTTTGCTGCCTCAACACATCCCACTCGAGTTAATCGTGAGAACTTTCCATTGATGTTGTTTAATACCACCTTTCATCTTGTACTATGTGGCACCTTAGATGTAACATGCTCTTCCCCAACGTGATTCTTTCGTTGAGTTAATATCATCTTCACGCATCCTCAGCGCCAATGGGGGCGCGGTGGGCGAGCTGTCTAAGGCGCCAGGCTAGTAATCCAGCGAGCTTGGAGGTGCCTGATTGAGCCCACCTGTGACCGGGTGTAAAAACCTTGGAGTAAACTTTGTGTGCAGACTCTTTCAGAGTTGTCACAACCCCTAGTGTACAGTATACAACACAACCCTGTGCACTTAAAAGAACCCACGGATCCGTTGGTAGATGACCAGATGGTGGCCACATGAATACGTGCAAACACCTAGTTGCGGGTACAGAAGCGTGCAGTAAACTTGGACAAAGTACTCTCACTATGCGTCCCGGTCCACCTAGCTGTGAATGGGTACCTCGTAAGGATGGAAAAGCCACATTAACTCAATGCGCCAAGTAGGCAGCAAGAGTTGTATGGTCCCCAGGGAGTTCAGATTGAAAAATACTATGTGCTGTTGTGATGGATATCCAATGATCGAGGGAAAACATGTTGGAATGTGGCGAAAACATCTCCATAAAGTGGAGGAAATTGAGCCAAACATGCAACGCGACTGCTAAGGGCGATAGGTAAACATTTCATGGTAACCTGTGACTGTAACGTGCGAGAAAACATCCTTAGTTGAATTCGTGTCGACTAAGAATCATTTAATGTTGAAACAAGAATGTCGACATGGTAGACTACTTAGCCTCACAATCTTTATTGGCTCTTATCTCAGCATGGGCTGGCGTTTGGCAAGTTGATCTGCAATAACTGACACTGTGCCTTATCGTCATGTTCTATCAGGTGGCATAAACATAACGTCCAGCTGGGAGGGTCGGCCTGACGATAATGGTTTCTTTTAACACATTAATGTACCTTACACACATTTATAAGGTGTGTGAGAGTTTGGCTGGAGTGCTTGGGTGGTAACCCCAATCACCTCTTTGAACTATTTCCCGTTTATATAATCCGGTACCTGCAAATTGATTTGCGGATAAGGAAGAATAGAGTTCAATCGGTACTTGTGCTATGCATGTACATTACTTTCCTCTGTGACCTCTTTGATTGCCAGTT